ATATATATATATATATATATATATATATATATATATATATATATATATATATATATATATATATTAATTAATTATTCCAGTTTATCTAATAAATCAGACCAAAAAATAACAATATGTCATCGTTATCAAGACTATAATGTCAAAACTCAATACGATTCAATCATTTTCTTGTCTATTAGATAAATCAGACCAAAAATACCAGTTAATTTGTTAAATCCAGACTATATCAAGACTATAATGTCAAAACTCAATCATATGTCAGTATTGTTTGAGTTATACACATCTTTTAGCACATTTTGTGTAGAATATACCTCTACTTTGCACAAATTCAATCACTTTATTAGTCTACAAAATAAATCAGACCAAAAACATCAATTAATTTATGATCATTTAAGGCTGTGGTGTCAACTTAATCATGTCAGAGATGTTGGAGTTGAGCCTAATATTGTAGACAAAACCAAACTTTACTGCATTATTTGGAGAACTTGAGGACACATTCAATCATTCTTCTACTCTATCAGATAAATCAGACCAAAAACACCAGTTCATTTGTAGAAAACATTAACTTTAGAGCAGTTTTGGAGAATAGATCTCTAAATGTGCACAAACACAATCATTCTTCTACACTATTATGCAAAACAGACCAAAATACCAATTGATTTGCGATCATTATCAAGACTACAATGTCAAACTCAATCATATCAGTCATGTTTGCATTATAGCCTGAGATTTCAGTCTAACGCATGTTTTAACACACATCTCTGTGTTCTCTTCTGCTCTATCAGATAAATCAGAGTAAAACACCAGCTGATTGGTGATTATTATTATGCCTTCAATAAGCAAACTGCTGTAATTATAGAGGAGATTGTGTTGAAAACTGTATGTAATCGGTTTGCGCCAAACTCATGAACATATAAAACATAAACAAAGATCTCCTGATTTAAACATGTCTCTGGTCTAATATGCAGTTCAGACCCAAAACACCAGCGGATTTATGATCATTAGCAGAGCTATGAAGTCAAAACTCAATCATACATCACTAATGTTCAACTAATGTAGTAAAACCAAACTTTAGTGCACGGTTCTGGAGAATATATCTCTGCTCTGCAGAACCAAAAATACCAACAGATTTGTGACCATTAACACAGCTATGATGTCAAAGCTCAATCAGATGTCAGTAATATTCGACTTATCGCTTGACATTGTGGAAAAAAAATCATATTTAATCTATTTTTTGAGAATGGAAGTCTATTTTGTTGAAATTCACTCACTCTTCTAGTCTAGCATGCACATCAGACCAAAAATACCAATCGATGTGTGAACTTTATCAAGACTATAATGTTAAAACTCCATCAGATATCAGTAATGTTCAACAATAGCCTGGAATTACAGACACAAACATGTTTAAGCACATTTTTGTGTAGAATATATCTCTATTTTTCACAAACTACTCACTCTTGATCTCTATTAAGCAAATCAGACTAAAATACCAATGGATTGGAGATCATTTCCAACACTTTAATGTTAAAACTCAATCATATGTCACCAATGTTTCAACTACAGCCTGAAAATTACAGTAAAAACATGTTTAGCACATGATCTTGTAGAACTTTACCCAAATTAGTCACTCGTCTAGTCAATAAAGCAAATCAAACCAAAATACTAATGAATTTGAGATCATTTCCAAGACTAGAATGTCAAAACTCTATCATAATGTTCGAGTAACAGCTTCAGATTGTAGACCAAACTATTTTAAACACTTTTTTAATCAATATATGTCTCTACATTACACAAATACTCACACTACTCGTGTATCAGAGCACAAATACTGATGTATATGTCATCCTTATCAAGTAACTCAATCATATGCAGCAATGTTCAGGTAATAACCTGATATCGTGGCCAAAACCATTTATAGAGCTTTTTTTTTTGAAAGATTATCTCTCTACTTTGCACAAATTCAGTCAATTTTCTAGTCAATTATGCAAATCAGACCAAAATAGCCAACTAATTTAAGATGATTTTCAAGACGGTAATGTCAAACTCATTAAGATGTCAGTAATGCTCAACTAATAGTCTGGGATTGTAGTCAAAACCAAACTTTAGTGCATTATCTTGGAGAATATCTCTCTGCTCTGCACAAATTCAGTCACTCATCAAGCCAATTATGCAAATCAGACCAAAAACAGCAGTGGAGTTTCAACTATATTGTCAACCCAATCATACTGCGCCTGAGACTGTGGTCAAAAGCATATATCAGAGCTTGTTTTAAAGAATATTTGTCTACTTTGCACAAACTGGTCACTATTCTAGTCAATTATGCAAATCAGACCAAAAATAGCCAACTGATTTAAGATGATTTTAGCAAGACTGTAATGACAAACTCATTAAGGTGTCAGAAATGCTCAACTAATAGTCTGGGATTGTAGTCAACTTTAGTGCATTAACTTGGAGAATATCTCTCTACTCTGCACAAAATCAGCCATTCTTCTACTCTATAATGCAAATCAGACTAAAACACCAATGCATTTATGATCATTCCCAAGACTATAATGCCAAAACTCAATCATATGGCACTGATGTTCAAGTAACAGCTTGAGATTGTAGATTTATTTAACGATATGACACACTCGTCACACTACTAGTCTATCAGAGCCAAAAAACTGACTTATATTTTGTAAAGTAACTCAATCATATGCCAGTAATGTTCAATTAATAGCCTGAGACTCCAGTCAAAGCCATATTCAAGAGCTTGTTTTAAAGAATATACCTCTACTTTGCACAAATTCAGTCATTATTCTAGCCTATTATGCAAATCAGACCAAAAAGATAACAACTGAATTCTGATCTTCATCAAGACTATAATGTTAAAACTCAACCATATGTCAGTAATGTTCAACTATAGCCTGAAATTACAGTAAAAACATGTTTAGGACATGATCTTGTAGAACTTTACCTAAATTAAACACTCGTCTAGTCTTTTACACAAATCAGACCAAAATACCAATGAATTTAAGATCATTTCCAAGACTATAATGTCAAAGCTCTATCATATGTCAGTAATGTTCAAGTAGCTTGAGACTAAAGACTAAACCATATTTAATCCATATATGTCTCTACATTACACAAATACTCACACTACTCGTGTATCAGAGCACAAATACTGATGTATATGTCATCCTTATCAAGTAACTCAATCATATGCAGCAATGTTCAGGTAATTCAACAAGATTGTAGTCAAAACTATATTTTGGTGAATCTTTTTAAAATATTCCTCTACTTTGCACAAAAATTAGTCACTATTCTAGTCAATTATGCAAAGCAGAGCAAAAACACCAATTCATAAGCGATCATTTTCAAGACTGTAATGTCAAACTCAATCATGTGTCAGTCATTTTCAAGTAATAATCTGAGTTTAGTCAAAACCACCTTTTTGACCAGCTTTTTTAAAGAATACACCAGTTTATCAGATAAATCAGAGTAAAATACTGATGAATTATTAATATCAAGAATGTCAACATGACTCAATCATATGTCAGTAATGTTCGAGTTACTCAAGTTTCCACCAAACTGCAGCACATATGAAGTAAAAGCCTGCTCAATCTGCACACACACACACACACACACACACACACACACACACACACACACACACACACACACACACACACACA